CCCCTCATTGTTTGCAATCTGTTGCATTTTGTTCTAGGCCATGTGGCCTGAGAGTGAACCAGGAGCCCAGAAACAGGTTCGGGTTAAAGGGCAGGTCAGAAAATGATTTAGGAGGTTTCCCTACATCCCAAACCTTCAATTTCAAACCTCATGGCTGGGATGCCTCTATCTAAAAAAGAAAAAAAAATGTAATAAACAATACTCCTTTTCAGAGAGTAGCACCTTATTCTACCCAGTAAAAGCCCTCAGTAGGACAATCAAGTACAAGTACAACCCCCTCATTTGCAAAAAGAGAAACTGAGGTCCGGATCACGAAGTTCACATATCACCTTTGTAATGTTCTGGATCTCAAAATTAGCCTTCTAAAACAATACTCTTTCCACTTTACCACTCCACCAGTCTTTGTAGAGATACGTCTTTATTGATCTCAAGATTCTCATTCCAGACATTAAATAAACACAACCTCTTGGGTGTAACAAGAAAGCAGGTTAAAAATGACCTTAATGCAGGTTAAAAATGACCTTTTGGGGGGTGACTTTTAATTTTTCTTGTTATCTTCATTTTCTTCCTTAAGGGTATGACAATTTCCATGCCCTATTCCCTAATTCCCTCTCAAATGTTCACATAAAAGTTATTCTTAAAAGCTACAGTGAGTTTTCTCTGTCCTGATTTACGTAGGTGTGCAGGCTAGCCTCAATCTACACCCTACAAAAGCGTCTTTCCACTATTTCTCATAGATACAAGTGTCTAAGAGGTTGGGATAAGAATCTGGTGGCATAGGATGCTCTGGTCTGCCCTCATCAAAGTTTGCACTTGCATCAGGATGGGGGAGGAGTGACTGGAGCTTTAGGACCATGATCCCAGTACAAAGCCCAGAGGGTTGGCACAAAGTAGGACCAGTGAACATTTATTGAATGCAAGAGAGTAGTTGAAGCCCACAGGTATACTGAAAAGGAACTAGAATACCTTTCTATCTTAGACCAAAGCAGCAGGCACAGTGTAGACCTTCTCAGATAAGTGATCATCTAATCATCAAGGAAGTGGTGCCTGACTGGGATGGAGGGTGAGGAAAAGAAGTTGGCTGGATGGCAGGAAGCTGGGCCTCATTTCTAGTAATTTCCTATCTCCCAGCCTCATTTTTTCCATCCCTTAACAGGGAACCTTCATTTCTCCCCTGTCTCACGGGGTGATGATGAAAATGCACAAGTGGTAAGGAGTGGGAGGTGCAGGGGGAGGGCATTATTGGCATTTTAACGTAAAGCAGGCAGGAGATCTAGGTTTTTAACAGAATGAAGGCTTTGCTTTGTACAAAAAGCTCCTCAGTTTCTTCTCTCCCAAGGGGAGTGTGAGTTTCCCAAGGATATCAGGGGAAACCAAAAAAAAAAAAAAAAAAAAAAAAAAAAGCGTCAAGCTTGGAGTGACTCTAAAAGGACCCCTTCCAACCTCCCACGGACAGAAATCCCCTACAGTCCAACCCGAGTATTGTCCTCTCTAAGCGCCAACCCTCACCATGTCTCCCTTGTCCCCCGGGGCTCCAATCATCATCGGAGGGACGCTGGCTCCCTCCCCACTTCTCCAAACTGTTTACCAACACACCCACGTGCCAGACAGACACTGCTAGGGGCTATACAGGGAGCTTCAGGCAGAAAAGGGGGAGGCCACGGAGAAGGATTGAGAAAAGCCAGTGCCTGACCTTAGTGGTAGAGCTTTGGTCACCTATGGGGCGCCCCCCTCTTAGATGGCCCCGGGCGGTCCTTACCCGAGTCGCTTGGGCTCTCGGACCCAGAGCAGGCCTGAGTCTTGGGTTCGCCCAGCTGACAGGGGGTGGCGGGCGCCGGGTTGCCGGCTTCAAGGCTGGGAGTGCAGTCCGGGGTGGCGGGCGCCTTGGGCGGGTTCCCCCGGGGTGCGCCGGGGGTGAGCCGGTCGCTCACCGCTCTCTCCAGCCTTTCCCGGGCAGAGAAGCCGCTCCACATGCAGTCACGGCGGATGATGGAAGCGTAGTTCCTTCCCCAAGCTTTAGAGTGACCCCGAGATTCCGCCTCGTCCCCAGCGCCCCCTCCGGGCCACGGCTCCGGGGGGCCAATCCCAGGGGCTGGGTCGCCGGCGCCGGGACCAGAGCCCCAGGGCGGCGACGTGGGGGGCGACGGCACCAGCTCGAATTTCTTCCAGATGTCCTCGCTGGGCGCCGTGGAGCGGTAGAAATCCTCCCCGCAGTCATAGTCGTAGAAATAGTGCTGGTACGAGTCGAAGTCCATGTCCGCTCCCTGTGGGAGGGAAGGGGGGACGTGCTGACTGAGGTGCTGGCGGAGGAAAGAGGCAACCTGGGTCCCTCCGCACAGGCGGCTGCGGGGCTCCCGTCCTTTCCCAACCCACCGAATACAGCCCGCCCGCGCCCTGCCCTCGCGTCCCGGGAAGCCTGGCCCTGGGTCAGAGTGCCAAGGGAAGACCATCACAACGCCGCGGACCAGGCTACAGGGAGCGAGTTCAAAGCAAACTTTGCCAGCGCCGCCCGTAGCGCAGCTCCCAGGGCCCGGCCAGGTCCGGCGGGGGCGCGCTGTATCCAGAAGACAGCCTGCAGCCTGCCCGTTCCCCCAGGATCCGCGCCCGTGCCGGGGCCACCCGCAACCTCACCTCGCTCCCGCCGCCCGCCACCTGGAGCGGACCGGCTCCCCGCCGGCTCGGGGCAGCCCGGCAGCCCGCACACACACACATGCGCGCCACCGAGCGCGCGGCCCGCACTCACGAGCGCGCCCCGCGCGCGCGCGTTCCCCGCCTCGCCTGCGCACGGCGGCTCGGACGCTCCCGGGATCGGCGCGGGAGCGCGAGCTGCAGGCGCATTGTTTCCCGGCTGCCTTATATCTCGTCGCGCGCTCCGGGCTCCGGGACCGGGAGGTGGGTCCTAAGGGACAAGCTCCGCCCCCGATCCGCCCCTCTCCCGCCAGTCGACAGGTGGGGACATCCCCACCTCCTGGCTGCATTCCCTGGCTCTATTCTACGCCTTGTAGCTTCCAAATAAATTGCACGCTGGGGAGAGCAGAGCTGGAGGCGAGGTGATGCAGCCCCGGGGTCGCCTGGTAGAGCAGCGAATCCTTAGATTCACGGATCTCGGCTGGCCGAATAAGCCGCTCCCGGCCTCTTTGGGCTGGGAATAAGGCTACTCTTCGCCTTGACCCCACTAGCCTTTTCCCCCAGGCGTACCCCGCTGGGTTCAGGTGCGTCCTACCAGCGGGATGGCTGAGGGGAAAGGGGGGTTGGGGGAGCAAAGGCAACTGCACTTCCACCACGCCACCTGGCGGCACGCATACACGAATTGGGCTTGTTCTGGCGTCTGCTTCTTCACCCGTTAACTCATTTCTTTAGCTTGGTGGCCCAAACCCAAACGGCAGTGAAGGGAAGTAGTGGGGATTCTGGGCTTTGGAACCTGCAACGTAATCATCATCATCATCTTCTTCTTCTTCTTCTTCTTCTTCTTCTTCTTCTTCTTCTTCTTCTCCTTCTCCTTCTTTTTTTTTTTTTTTTTTTGTACCAGGGATTGAACCCAGTGACGCCTAACCACTGAGCCACATCCCAGACCTTTTTATATTTTAGTTAGAGACAGGATCTCACTAAATTGCCTAGGCCTCGCTAAATTGCTGAGGCTGGCCTTGAATTTGCGATCCTCCTGCCTTCTCAGGCTCCCAAGCCGCTGGGATTACAGGCATGAGCCACCGCGTCGGGCTGCAACGTAACCTAGGTTATGATTTCACCTGTAAAATGAGGGGATGGTAATACCTCACAGGGTACTTAGGAAGGTTTAAGAAGATACAATACCTAAGGAAGGGGACTGCACCAGGAGGGAGGCTAGTAGCACTGGCTTAATCCCCTCATCCCCTGCGACATTTTTCCTTCAGGGAAAGGTCAGGGCTTACACCCCTCCCCTTCCCTCAAAAACAAAACAAAATAAGCAAACAAAAAACACTGCATTGAACCTTTTCTAGTAGAAAAAATAGAAAACAGAATGAGGCAGGAGGATCGCAAGTTTAAAGCCAGCATCAGCAATTTAGCGAGGCCCTAAGCAATTTAGCAAGACCCTATCTCAAAGTAAAAAATATGAAGAACTGAAAATGTGGTTCAAGGTTTAAGTGCCCTGAGTTCAATCCCCGGTGCAACGGAGTTGGTGCTATCTGGAAGTCCAGAAACTTCCTTCAAATCCTTGCTTAGCCACTTGCTGTTTAAAGCTTTGCCCCCATTTTTGACCAAGATGATGAACATAAAATTCCTTTGTGTGATGGACACGTAATTCCTTAGTGTTTGCCATCTTGGTACCCTATGTCTTGAGATTTAAGCCAATAAATCTAAGGATAGTAGCCAATACATATAGAATCCTCTACCTGGCACTAATGTGGTTGAGTGCCTTTCTTTGCCTGCTTGCATGCTCTCCCTCCCTTTCCTTCCCACTCTGTGGTTTAATAACACCAAATTACTCACATTGGCATGCCAGCAGGCTGGAGAAGAGGACTTTCAGGTGTGAGTTGATGTATGAGTTGGGAAGAGAAGGCAGGGAAGATTACACCCTCTGTTTGGAGTTCTTGGGTCTAAGGTGCATGTGGAACATCCTAAAGACAGGAATCCTTACTTACTCTGTAATCTCTGCACCTAGAAGGGTTTCTTGCAGATATTTATGAATTGACTTACTGAATTACCCAGCCAATCATATTTTATTGAAACAGCTTATATGCCCTGCTCTGTGCTGAACTGGAAAGCCCAGAAAATGGGGTGTGTGTGTGTGTGTGTGAGAGAGAGAGAGAGAGAGAGAGAGAGAGAGAGAGAGAGAGAGAGAAGATGGACACAATACCTTTATTTTATTTATTTTTTATGTGATGCTGAGTATTGAACCCAGTGCCTCACATGTGCTAGGCAAGAACTCTACCAGTAAGCTACAACCCCAGCTCCCGGAAAATGTTCTTAAATTTGGTTACAGCCTCAGAAAGAAGGATTGGCCTGTCTTTTGGTGACTTGCTTTCTGGTTCAGAGGTGTCTGGAATGGGTTTGATATCAGTAAATTTCTTGGTTATAAAAGAGAGAAACCAACCTTACCTACATTTAAGCAGAAAACTGCTTTATTGAGAGAATTTGTGGTATAAAATTCATGGGAGGCTTGGAATCTATGCTTGGAGAATGGATATTCTTTACACTGGAGCCCCTACTCAGCAACCCTTCCTCATTCTCGTAGATGATATCTAGAGGCAATGAGGACAGGGATAAATGTCAGTCTTGTTCACTATCATAATCCCAGAGCTTAGAACAGAACCTAGTATATCATGCATGGGTGTTTAGTAAATGTGTTGCCTATTTGACTGAACACAAACTTATAACACTTTAGCATAGAGATGTGCCAGTTTGTCTGGTGGAGACAATAACACTCTGGCCCTGTCTAGACAATAGCCTGATTAAAGGTATTAATGTAGTGCCAGGCACAGTGGCATACAACTATAATCCTAGCTACTGAAGGGGCTAAGGAGACTTGAGCCCAGGAGTTGGAGGCTAGCCTGAGCAATATAGTTCACTCCACCTCAAAAAAAAAGTATTAATATCACTAAAGAAAGTGCCAGTCAGGAGGGAGTGGGTAGCCAAAAAAGCCAGAGATCAGGGAGAGTTGCCAAGGTAATCATTCACAGTTTCCATCATAGCACTCTCTGGGGACAAAAATGCTGGTCTAGGAAGAGGGGAGATGGAGGCATCATTCTTTGAAGCCACTCAGTTCATCCCCCACTTCACTCATGCTCTGGATCACCAAGCAACCCTTCTGATAAACCATTCTGTTCCCCATGTAGATCCGCCCACAGGGAGTGAATGCACTCAGCAGTGAACAGGAAGATCCAGTCTGCTTCAAAGCCCTGCTTCCCCTTATAAATTAATGAATTGGCATCTTATTTGAAATATCAGTCTCATGAGCCTGGTTAATGTGTGTCTGTTCCATAGAGATGCTGCTGCTTTTAGGACTAACAACTGTGGTTTCTGAGCTAATGTCTGGACCCAGAATGGTGATAAATTCACCACGGTAACAAATGCTACTCTAGGGATATCCAATTTAGCTGCAATCTTTAAAATTTCCTTTATTTTTCTTAAAACTTTTTTTTGTCTATAGAGGCATTTTATTTGTATTATCTATTAAATCCCTGGAAACAGAATCCCAGGATTTTCCCTCCTGTATGTTTTTGAGTTGTTTCTTTGTGGTCTGTGATGCCAGCTGACGTTGTCAGTATAATGAAACCAAACTGACAGGAGGGAGCAGATTTTTCTGCCATTTTTCAAGACCTTTGCACATCAAATCTGGGGATGGTCTCTCCACCCTTGTTTAGCCTGCCTGTGAGGCTCACAACAATTTTCCCAGCTCCACAGTCATCAATAATTTCAAATTAGCAATGTATCTTTTATTTTGCATTATATTCAGAAATTGGAAAATGACTTGGGAGCACAGTCTAATATCATCCTGGCATTTTCCTGGCACAATGGTGCACACCTATAATCCTAGCCACTTGGAAGGCTGAGGCAGGAGGATCAAAAATTTGAGGCCAACCTGGGCAATTTGTCAAGATCCTGTCTCAATTTAAAAAATAAAAAGTTTCAGGAATATAGCTCAGTGATAGAGTGCCCCTGGGTTTAATTCCTAAGGCAAACAAAACAAAAACCATCCAAACCCTGGCATTTGCCTCTTTTCTTCAGCATTTTTTTTTTTTTGGTATGGGGGATTGAACTCAGGAATACTTGACCCCTGAGCCACATCCCCATCCCTGTTTTGTATTTTATTTACAAACAGGGTCTCACTGAGTTGCTTAGCGCCTCGCCATTGCTGAGGCCAGCTTTGAATTTGCGATTCTCCTGTCTCAACCTCTGGGTCTGCTGGAATTACAGGTGTGCACCACCTCGCCAGGATTTTTCTCAACATTTTCAATCTTATTGAGAACATTATCTAGGATATTCATGTGCACATATGCACCATTAGGTAGCATAGAAAGATGACAGAAAATAAAGAGCTATAACATATCTTTAATCTTTTTTTTTTTTCCAGTGCTGGGGATTGAACTCAGAGTCTCATGCATGCTAGGCAAGCGATCTACCACAAAGCTACATCCCCAGGCCCCTAAAACATATTTTTAATCACAATAATACATGTGCATAGTTTTTAAAAATATCAACTAGACATATGACAACATTAAAAAAAAATCTTGGGCTGGAACTGTAGCTCAGTGGTAGAGTGCTTGCCTAGCTAGTGTAAGGCACTGGGTTTGATTCTCAGTACCACATAAAAATAAATAAAATAAAGGTATTGAGACCCTGTCTCTAAATAAGAAATAAAAAAGGTCTGGGTGGTTAAGCACCTCTGGGTTCAATCCCTAGTACCAAAAGGAAAAACAAGTATAAGTAAGGAAATGTAGTATACTTGTAAACTACAACTAAAAAATATATATATTAAAAACAACAACTCAGTCTTCTGTCCTGCCTTTGCCACTTCTGATTCCTGCTCCCAAAAGCTGTTTTATTTTTTCCTAACATTTTCCATATTTTGAGCAACACAGATAATCTTTTTTAAAATTTCTATTGATATCCTACAATAAAAGAAGATAGCTCTTATACTTCCCTTCTCTCCCTCCATACTTGGTCTTCTCTTATTCTTCCAGTAGGATTATAATTCAATTTTTCTTTTCTTTTTTTGGTACTAGGCATTGAACTTAGATTGAACTTAGGGACACTTTACCATTTAGTTACATCCCCAGCTCTTTTTATTTATTTATTTTTTTTATTTTGAGACAGGGTCTACTTAAGTTGCTTAGGGCCTCACTAATTAATTTTTAAGTGAATAAATATTTTCAAATGCTCATAGTATTTTGATTTTATAAGTATACTATGACTATATTTCCTTACTTATACTTGTTTTTTCTTTTGGTACTAGGGATTGAACCCAGAGGTGCTTAACCACCTATACCTTTTTTGTTTCTTATTTAGAGACAGGGTCTCAATGAGTTGCTTAGGATCTCACTAAGTTCCTGAGTCTGGCTTTGAACTCAAGATCCTCCTGCTTCAGGCTCCCGAGGTGCTGGAATTACAGGCTTTCACCACCACACCTGGTCTTTACTTACACGTTTTTATCAGAGTTAAATTGTCTCATTTTTCTTTTGCTTTGTCTCTATTATGAATTTAATCCTACTCATTCCCACCAGAGCTAAAGGGAGCACTCCATATGGTAAAACAAACCAGAAAATTAATCTACCAGTTTTTTTTTTCCCTTGGAATCATTCTTCTTGGAAATTTTTGTCTTCCTGTTCCAATCTGAACTTATTGGTCTGTTGACCTGCTTCACAATTGTCATCTTGTCACTTCCCATCAACATGATCCTGGAAATTCCCTCTACTTCTCTTTTGTGTTGTATCCCCTGTTTTCTGGAGTTCATCTTTTTCTGTTTTTGAGTTACTTACCTACTTTGGTGGCATGCATTCTCTACATCTACCTGAGAAAAAGTGCTCGGAAAGTAAAATGTTTGAAACTTGCATTTTTGAAATTGTCTTTATTGTACCCTCACTTTTTGTTGATAATTTGGGTATGAAATACTAGAATAGAAATTATTTCGCCTAAGAATTTTATGGATATTGCTGTTCTTTTTCCTAGTAACCAGTTATTATTGAGAAGATTGACTTCATTTGCTCTACAAATCCTTGTATGTGACATGTTTTTCTTTCTGGAAGCCTTTAGGGCTTATTCTTTGCCCTTGGCATTCTGAATTTTTTTCAATGATGTGCTTTGGTGTAGGTTTGTTGTAATAAAGAATTGAACTGCCCTTTGTCTCCAGTTCCTAGGAAATAGCCTCTAAATCCTTGGTCTTTCCCCAAGTATTAGGAGTGTCTTCATTATTCATGGTGGGCACTCTGATGGTTTATGCTAATAAAGTGACTCAAGGTGGGCCCATAAGTAGTTTAAGACCACTCTTGATGGGGGCTAACCATGCTAGAAGACCAATCATTAGACTAGCAGGTTTTGGCTTTGTGCCATGTGATATCAGTCTGACCTCAGAGCTGGGTGCGGGAGATTGAGTTCAATCATGTCTATGAGAGGAGTACAATAAAAACTCTGGATACTGAAGCTCAGCTGAGCTTTCCTGGATAATAATACTTTGTATTTCACATCAATATGCCAGAAGGATGATTTCATGGGAAGAGAACACTGAAAGCTTTGCAGTTGGGATGCTCCAAGACCTTGCCCTATGTGTCTCTTTTGGGGGTTCATTCTGATTTGTATTGTTTTTGCTAAAATAAAATGGTAACCACTTTCCGGGGTATAGTACTTGCCTGAGTTTTGTAAAGTGTTCTAGTGAATTATTGAAACTGAGGGGGTAATGGGAAGCCCTAAACTGGTCAGAAGTCTTGGAAATCCCTGAGCTTGTAGCTGTTGTCTAAGTAAGGATGAGATAGAACAGAAAGAAATTAAAAATAGGAAGAAAGGAGACAAAAGAAAGGGCAAGGAAAACACAACTTTAATCTAAAAGCCTTGTGTTCCAAATTCTTTTCCTCCCCAAGCCAGTTTTGTCTCTCAGACTTGTCCCTCTACAACTCATTTCTTCTTCCAGACCTGTCACTCCCAAATTGCTGGGAAATCTACAAATCTTCATTCATAATTTTAGTGTTACTGGAAATTCATTCACTTATGATAATTACCTTGTGCACTGTTAATTAGCCTATGTAATAAATAGATTAAGCAAAGACACACACACACACACACACACACACACACCTATTAGGGATTGAACTCAGGGACACTCAATCACTGAGTCACATCCCGAAACCTTTTTGTATTTTATTTTAGAGACAGGGTCTCACTGAGTTCCTTAGGACCTCGTTAAGTTGCTGAGACTGGCTTTGAACTCCAGATCCTCCTGCCTCAGTCTCCCGAGCCACTGGGTTTACAGGCATGCGCCACCACACTTGGCAAGACAGATATATTTTAAAGAATCTACTATAATCTAGGGTACTTTCCAATGTGATCAGATAATGGAGACTATGTCAACCTAAGGATCCTGAAAATTGCCAGACAACCATAAATCATCTTGTGAACACCAGACTGATACAATCCCCATATACTTTCCCATGCCACCCCCTCACCAGGTTCCCTTTAAAAGAAGAAACTGAGGACCCCAAAAGTGCATCTCACACTTGAGGTGGATGGCCCAGATTCTCTCTCGAGTCTT